CTTCGTGTGTGTGTGTGTGTGTGTGTGTGTGTGTGTGTGTGTGTGTGTGTGTGTGTGTGTGTGTGTGTGTGTGTGTGTGTGTGTGTGTGTGTATAAATATGTATATTCCTAATTTACCTACGAAAATTAATTTAACACTTTCAGGGTAATGAATTCTATGACCTTTTAGTTAGTAATCTTCCCGACGAAACGGATGTTAATGTCATTAAGCGTCGTCTTAAGCAATTATCTGAAAATTGTGGTGGTCGTGTGATAGATGTCCAGTCAAATACTGCCATTGTACGCTTTACGTCGCACAGTTCTGCAGACAGGTATATATTTTATTAATTTTCTGATTACCGTAGACATAAAACAGGTTTCTTTTTTTTTTAATTAATTTTATGAAATATACGTTTTTTGTCTTGGACTTGATAAATTAGAGATCAGTTAGTAAATCAAAATCTTAGTAATTAGAAAGTTAATATCAAAACTTGCATTTCCTTTTCCAGTTCGTGTATTAGTCTGACCGGTATATTAATTTATATTTAAATAACCCGCCTGTATGTCATGTAAATCAGCCTTTCACATTCTGCGTTCTATCATTGGATCGGTATGTGTATATATAAAAAAAAAAAGGGAGGAAAAACAGTTTCATATGTCTCTTGTATTACAATACTAATGTAGCAGGGATGAAAACATAAATAGGGAAGGTTCGAAATAACAGACAGCAATGTAACGAACATAGTGTAGTATCAAAGAGCATCATATTATAAATTTACGTACTATTATATTCATTGTATTCACATATTAGGATTGATTATACATATAGTGATATTATATTTTTATACAGAATAATATGTATCCCATTAGTATTTATTGTTTTTTTTTATTTATATATTTAATATCACAATGTTGAGCAATAATTTTACTTCTATCCGTGGTAAGTTACAGTGTCTTTTGTATCGCCATTGTCAGAGAAGTTCGTTTATTATTGAGAAATTTATTTTATACACAATATATAAATATATAAATATGTACAACAATGTTTTTTCCTATTTGGAAAAAAATGTTATATGAGCAATAATTTTAATTATTATTGTAATCGAGCTATGTCTAGATATCATATATTCTCATGGCCTGCAAGGTCATTTATAAGTGAAATTATTGGATCTGTTTAGGGAACTATACAATAACAATGTGATTGTTCCTTTTTTTCTTTTCTTTATTTTTCATAGGGCTCAGAAGCGTATGGAAGGAGAATATGTTCTTGGATCGAAAATATTTGTAAAATATCTCGGGAAGGAAAAAGGAATAATCGCCAAAAGTATAGGTATGTTTATTGGAAACATTTTGACAAAGTTATATAAGTTATGTATATTTAATTATTGAGCTTATTGTAATTAATAATATTCTTTCACAGGAAGTATTATAACTCGAAGTAGGGCAGTTAGTGAGTCGGAAATTGTTACTGGTCCTAAGCAGAGTAGTTCTAAGCAAATGTATGCTGCGAGTGCATCTGTACTGGGGACAAGAACCCTCCAATTTCCGCATTATCAGTCCTCATCGTCTGTAGTGGGCCCCTATCCTGCTTTCAATGCAGGGCACTGCGCGCCTGTCAATGGTCCACCATCGGGGTTAGTTTGTGAAATTTGACCTTTATCTAGTAAACTAATGTGATTATTTTTTTTTTTTTCGTAATGATGGATAATCCGAGATAGAGCTCTTGAGTCGCGAGTAGATTTTAATCCTTGCCGATTCGGGCTGTGAGTTTGATTTTGATCTTATCTGACATAAAATACTAAATGAACTTTATATTTATTGATTGTAATGGGAAGATAACTTTAATATTTTATGTATTTTGCAGAATGATGCAGCAACCTCCGATATTTTTTGGAAGATCATATCCGAATAGCGGCGATGTAGCTTTTAATAGGACATACAATGATCTTACTAGAGTGCAGTCGCCATTAATTTGGCCAATCGTAGGACCTCAATATGGTCATATGTGGGAAGAATATAAAGTTAGTTTCGTGTAGATGAATATTTAAATTCCCTCCCCCCCCCCCTCTCTCTCTCTCTCTCTCTCTCTCTCTCTCTCTCTCTCTCTCTCTCTCTCTCTCTCTCTCTCTCTCTCTCTCTCTC